CTCAGCGGCTTCCTGGGGGCCAAAACCCGCCCCGGTTAGCCTAGGGACCCCAAGCTCCCACGTACTCCCTGACCCGCCTGCCTTGCCGTCCACATTCCCTTTTCCAGCCTAGTTCCCAGTCTGGCTCCTCCCCGCAATTAAACTCTCTCCTTCCCCTTTCCCTCCCACCCTGGGCCCTGGCCGGCCACTGGAGTGCAAATGCCACCTACCCACCTCTGCCTGGCGTGCTCCCACCTCGTCAACCGGGATCAACCCTGCACTTGATCCTCCTCCCTCCAAAAATGCAGACCTGCCAGAGGCCTCTGCCACCCTCCAAGGCCGGCTGGCTCCTAGGCCCATTGGACAGGCTTCCCTGCCCTGTCATTCTCCATCCACCATCTGTCTACACTGCTGAGCCCTTATTTTCATTCCATGTTTTTGTTTTTTTATTTCAGAGAGGAAGGGAGAGGGAGAGAGAGAAACATCAATGATGAGAGAAAATCATTGATCAGCTGCCACCTGCACGCCCCCTACTGGGGATTGAGCCCACAACCCCGGGCATGTGCCCTGACTGGGAATTGAATATGACCTCCTGCTTCAGGGTCAACGTTCAACCACTGAGCCACAGCAGCCAGGCGTCTTAAATTTTTTGAACCAGTAATATGTTCTCATGATCTAGACATCCTGGGATATAATCTTAGAGACACTAGCAGACACTCCTTCACATAAGAACGAAGACTTTGCCCTAACCGGTTTGGCTCAGTGGATAGAGCGTCGGCCTGCAGACTGAAGGGTCCCGGGTTCAATTCCGGTCAAGGGCATGTACCTTGGTTGCAGGCACATCCCCAGTAGGGGGTGTGCAGGAGGCAGATGATCGATGTTTCTAACTCTCTATCCCTCTCCCTTCCTCTCTGTAAAACATCAATAAAATATATAAAAAAGAAAGAAGACTTTCCTGGAGATGATAGTTTAGGTCACTTTAATTCATCCTTCCCTTGGGCTGGAGCCACTGGCTGACCCTTCCTGAAGCACTGACCCTATCCTCACTGCTTTTCCTGGGGGTCACTGCTCTTTCTCTCGCTGAACCAGCAGGAGCTCTTTATCTGTGAGGTTACAGATAAGCCCTACACGGATCTCCATGTGTCTGTTGTTTTCTGGTTTTGCCTGTCCATCCTTAGACAAGCAGAAGGAGGTTCCTGGCTTCTGGACTCTTCTGATACATAGTTCAATTGCCAGAGGACAGTGTCCACACAGTTTCCACTTCTGCGTCAACATCTTTGAACCACTGGAGTTTTCCCCGGGAACTGATGCGAGAGAACCTCCAGATGGTTACCAAGGGTCCCACCGTGTTCCAACCGTCCTCCCTTCCCTCCTGGGGACCTCAAGGGAGATGATTTGGCTGTGTTCCCCCACAGTTTTAATTCCTGTACTTTTATAGTACTTTAAAAAATATATACTTTTATTGATTTCAGAGAGGAAGAGACAGGGAGAGAAACATCAATGATGAGAGAGAATAATTGATTGGCTGCCTCCTGCACGCCCTCTACTGGGGATCAAGCCCACAACACAGGCATGTGCCCTTGACTAGAATCAAATCTGGGATCCTTCAGTCTGCAGGCCGACACTCTATCCACTGAGCCAAACTGGGTAGGGCTATTGTACGTTTAATGCCGTTAGGGATCTACCTTTGCCCATGCCTTTTTTATCAGAGCTTTCCTGGTGATTCTGGACTGTTTTATGAACAAGTGCTCCTCCTTCATCAAAAACAATGTTAGTATTTTTGGGGTGGGGGGGAGGGTCGTTGGCCCCTGTAGATACAGAGTTAGACTTTCCAGTTTCAGTGCACCGCTGTGGGGAGAGTCAGGCGAGGGAGGAAGGTGGGAGGTGAGGGCAGCCAGTACCTGAGATGGAGTCTGGATGTTTCCTGGAGAATAAGGAGGAAAAGGGGAGCGAGGGGCTTCCTGGAGTTTCCCAAGGTCTTCACCCTGAGTTGCCATCACCTGTGATGGACAAATGCCTGGGAGAGGTAGTGGCCTGGGGGTTGATTTGGGATATTTTAGAAGAATGACATTTCGCTCAGAAGCACTTCGAGCCAGCAGAGAGCCTTGGAGGTGGGGTGGAATAAGTGAAAGGGCCCTAGGGGAGGGGGCGGCTGGCGGGGAGGCCAGAGACCAAGCAGGAAGCACCAAGGGGTGGAGTGAAGAACATCAAGAATGGGGAGCAGAGGAGCGTTTGATAACCTGCTTCCTGGCGTATGGCATCAGTTTGGCTCAAATAGACTCATACTTGTTTTTTTTTTTCAAAAGTGCAGAGCAGAGCGAAGATGCCACCACCCACATCAAGCTTTCCTGCCTCCTGTGGTTGTAAAACTGAAGCCGGGTCCTTGGATCGAGCGTCAGCGTCAGCGCGAGCCCTGAATTCCTTTCCCTCCTCTTATCTGGGCTGTGTGCTGGCCAAAGAGACACAAGAGATGGATTTACCTAAACCTTCCTTCCAGGCCCACCAAAGGGGTCAGGCGACCGCAGGAGAAGACCTGATTCTCCTTCACATGCCGGGAGCCCAGGCCTGTGACGGAGTCTAACAGGTCTGCTCTGCTGAAGAAAGGCACGTCCACGCCCACAGCTCCCGCTCTCAGAGGGATGGAGGCGGACTTCTACCTTCGCAGTGTGACGGTCAGTGGCCCTGGGGACCACAGCTGCGTGTGCTAACACACAAGGGCTCCTTTCTTGGCCTGAGAGTCCGGTGATCAGCTCTCGATCTGGGTGACAGATTCCCCAGGTGCCACACCAACAGGTGATGCCACGGGGAACCGCCTCCACCTGGGCCTGATGCCGGGATTATGGTTCTACGGTGGCTCTCCCGGTGGAGCCAGGAGCCGTCTCCCGGTGGATCCCGCGGCGAAGACCCAATTGTTGTAGAAGAAGTCCCACCGCTGCCTGGGGAAACAACTGGTGCTCGATCCAGCCGGACCTGCTGAGTCTAACAGCTCTGCGAAGCTGGCATGCTACCCGGACGGATGACGGCTCTCCCTGTGTCCTTCACCAGGGCCCCAGGCAGGACTGGGCAGAAAGACTTGCCTAACACATTTTGGATGACTTGAAAAAATACTTAGAACTTCAGCGTCAGATTGAGTAGCAAGTACAGGCTCATGTAGAGGAACTGTTCTTCCATTGAAAAGTGGGGCCTCGCCAGTATGGCTCAGTGGTTAAGCATCAACCTATGAACCAGGAGGTCAGGGTTCAATTCCTGGTCAGTGCACATGCCCGGGTTGCGGGCTTGATCCCCAGTGAGGGTCCCCAGGAGGCAGCTGATCAATGATTCTCTCTCATTATTGATGTTTCTTTCTCTCCATCTTTCTTCCTCTCTGAAATCAATAAAAACATATTTAAAAAAGAAAAGTGGGGAAAGCCTGGCCGGTGTGGGTCAGTGTTTGAGTGTTGACCTATGAACCAGGAGGTCACAGTTCAATTCCTGGTCAGGGCACATGCCTGGGTTGTGGGCTTGATCTCCAGTAGGGAGTGTATAGGAGGCAGTCAATCAATGATTCTCTCACCATTGATATTTCTCTCTCTCTCTCTCTCCCTCCCTCTCTGAAATCAATAAAAATACTTTTTAAAGAAAAGTGTATATCTAGTATTCATTATTACTTCCCCTCCACTCTATTTTCTGCTCTCGACCAACAACTGGTCACATATTGGAATTTCTGCATTTATCACGTTTTTTTAAATTTCATTTCATACATTCTGAACATTTTAGCTAATTTTGGAGAAGTCCACTCTATATCATATTAACAATTTGCTCTTGACTTGTCCCCAGTATTTCTGGTGCAGGTTTAAAATGTCATTCATCATATTTTTGTTTTTAAGATCTGTTGTTGTTTCTTGTTCAATAAATTCTAATTCTTAATTTTTAAAAGATGCAGAGTAGACTGACGGATGCTTCAGGGGTTCCTGGGTTCAGTGTAAGGCTTCTTTTGGGGGTAATGAAAATGTTCTAAAACTGACTGTGGTAATGAGTGAACAACTCTGTGAATGGACTAAGACATTTAATTATACAGGGTGAATGGGCAAATTGTATGGTATGTAAATTCTGTCTCAATAAAGCTTTTTTAAAAAAAGGGGGGGGGAGGTGACCCTGGATTTAGCACCAAGAAAGCCTTGTTTGAGCCAAACAAGAGTGGTCTAGGGGAGTAGTGGGTGGAGGACCCCAGGGTGGGGTGGGTTTGAGAATGGAGGGGTTCTGCTGCAAGGGAGGCAAGAAGTGGGCTGGTGCGGAGGGCTGGAGAAAGGTCTCTCTCCTTGATCAGAATGTCCTGAACAGGCAAGAGGCTGGGCGCCCCTGGCCCTGGCCGGTGGCCTTGGAGGGAGATGGACCATTCACTGAAGCAGCCAGCCAGTGCACGGGTGGATGTCTGGTCCCCCACACCTGTTTTCTTGGGGACACAGAGGCCAGATTGTCAGCGAGGGGGATGATGGTGATGGCAGTTGACGGTTGAGGAGAAGGGAGAATTAAGGAAGAGTAGGCATGCTGGCACTGTGTGGGCATCACCAAGGGCCCTCTGGCCCATTATTGTGCAGCAGAGTGAGCCAGACCCGAGTCACAGCTCATTGGACACGGCGGGGGCAGTGGTCACAGACCCGGGTGGGGTGAGGGCCCTTGGTGGACGGCAGTCCCAGTAGCCCCTGAGGATGATGCCCTTCAGACCCAGGTGTCAGATTATGACCGGGGCATGGGGGTGGGGTGGGGGGGCAGCTCAGGGGGGCTGGATCTGTCCAGGAGGATGGTCTACCAGATGACCAGTGGCCCAGCTGTGGGGGTGAATCAGGAGAGAGAACAGAGGGAGGGAGTAGGAGTGAAGAGGGGCTGGGAGAGGAAGGGATCGGTGCTACTTAATCGCCATATGGTTTGTTTCCCCTGAATGACTTCAAAGTGATTCTCAGTTGTCAGTGTCTTACTGTTTTCAAACCTAACTGAATTTTTGTTTATTGGGTCTGTACAATCCTGGTTTCTGAGCAATTGAGGTTACCCTGTGGCTTGCTGTGGTCAATCCTGAGAAATGTGCCTGTGTTAAGAAAGAACATCTGTTCACCTGCTTCTGAGTTGCTGGGTGAGGAGCACAAAGCATGAACTGTACCTCTCGGGGTCCCATCACCCTGAGGCTCAGGACTGCGTCATGTGGGCCATTTCAGATCAAGAATTACACCCCAGGAAAAAAACCAAGATGGCAGCATAGGTAAACACCAGAGATTGCTGCCTCGCACAACCACTTCAAAAATACAACTAAAAGACGGAACGGACATCACCCAGAACCACAGGAAGGCTGGCTGAGGGGAAATTCTACAACTAGAAGGAAAGAGAAAAGCATACCGAGACTCAGAGGGGGTGCAGTGCGGAAGTAAAATACTAAGGTGCGGAGGTGCATGCAGAGCGGGCTGGCGGCTGTGGGCGTGGTTGTCGTTTTC